GAGGTTAGTTACTAACCTTCAAGGACCCAAGAAAATTTAGGTACCTAAAAAGAATTGATCTTCTTTTGTAAATCAATTACAAAGCCAGAGGAAGGCATTGGGTTCTTGATAGTCGGTGTACTCAACACATGACCGGTGATGCAAGAATATTCAACTTAATCAACACCAATGATAGCAATGGTTATGATAGTATCACATTTGGTGACAATGGCAAAGGCAAGGTCAAAGGGCTTGGTAAGATTGCAATATCCAATGACTTGAGCATTTCCAATGTGTTGCTAGTTGAGAGCTCAAACTTTAATTTGCTATTCGTGGCTCAATTATGTGATCTTAGATTTAAGTGCATATTAGGAGTAGATGATGTAGAGATCATAAGTGTAGATGGCTCTAATTTGATCTTCAAAGGCTTTAGATATGAGAATCTATACTTGGTTGATTTCAATGCTAGTGAAGGTCAATTGTCAACATGCTTGTTCACTAAGTCTAGCATGGGTTGGTTATGGCATAGAAGGCTTGGTCATGTTGGAATGAAATAATTGAATGGATTGGTTAAGCATGATCTAGTTAGGGGCTTGAAAGATGTGGTATTTGAGAAGGATAAGCTTTGTAGCTCTTGTCAAGCCGGCAAACAAGTTGGAAACACCCATCCTAAGAAGGGCATAATGAGCACTAGCAAGGCATTTGAGTTGTTGCACATGGACTTGTTTGGACCAACACAATACAGTAGCATCGGTGGAAACAAATATGGCTTTGTGATAGTGGATGACTACACTAGATACACATGGACATTCTTTCTAGTGGACAAGAGTGATGTGTTTGCAACATTCAAATCATTTGTCAAGGTCATACACAATGAGTTTGAAACAACCATCAAGAGAGTTAGAAGTAACAATAGTAGTGAGTTCAAGAACACAAAAATTGATGAGTTATGTGATAATTTTGGAATTAGACATCCATTCTTGGCCAAGTACACTCCACAATCAAATGGCCTTGTAGAGAGGAAGAATAGAACACTTATTGATATGGCAAGATCAATGTTGAGTGAGTACAATATGAGTCAATCTTTTTAAGCCAAAGCAATCAACATAGTTTGTTATTGTAGCAACTGCCTCTATTGTCACCCTTTGAAAGAGAAGATACCTTATGAGCTCTTGAATGGTAGAAAGCCCAACATTGTATATTTTTAGGTTTTTGGTTGCAAATGCTACATATTGAAGAAAGGCACTAGATTGAGCAAGTCTGACAAGAAGTGTGATGAAGGATTCTTGCTTGGATACTCCACTACAAGCAAAGCATATAGAGTTTGGAATTTGGCAAGTGGTACTCTTAAGAAAGTTTATGATGTGGAATTTAATGAAACCAAGGGTTCCCAAGATGAGAATGAGAATCTTGATGATGTTAGAGGCATTCAACTTTCAAATATCATGAAGAACATGGGTATTGGTAACTTGAGACCTAGGCAAGTGATAGATGAAGAAGATGATCAAGTGCAAGTGCTCTCTAACTCAAATATGCAAGATGATACAAATCAAGCAAGTACAAGTGGCTCTCATGACAATGAAGAAGATCAAGTGGCTAGTATATCATCTCAACCAAATGAGCAAGCAAATGCAAGCAACAATGTTCCAATACTCCAACTAACCAACATTGCAAGAGATCATTCATTGGACACTATAATTGGTGATATCTCAAGAGGTGTACAAACAAGATCAAGATTAACATCATTTTGTGAGCACTTCTTATTTGTGTTATCCATTGAACCAAAGAAGATAGAAGAAGCATTGAAGGATATTGATTGGGTGAATGCTATGCGTGAAGAATTAAACAACTTCACAATAAATCAAGTATGGGAGTTAGTTGAGAGACCAAAGAACCACAATATGATTGGAACCAAATGGGTCTTTAGAAATAAGAAAGATCAAGATGGGATAGTTGTAAGGAACAAAGCAAGATTGGTAGCACAAGGTTACACTCAAGTTGAGGGTCTTGACTTTGGTGAAACATATGCCCCGGTTGCTAGATTGGAAGCAATTAGAATATTGTTAGCCTATGTTTGTGCCCACAACATCAAGCTCTATCAAATGGATGTCAAGAGTGCATTTCTTAATGGCTACATCAATGAAGAAGTTTATGTTGAGCAACCTCCCAGTTTTGAAGATGACAAGAAGCCCAACCAAGTGTACAAGTTGAAGAAGGCATTGTACGGTTTGAAGCAAGCACCTAGAGCATGGTATGAGAGGTTGAGGGACTTACTACTCTCTAAAGGGTTCATAATGGGCAAGGTGACACCACACTTTTCACCAACAAGATTGGAAAGGACCTATTTGTGTTGCAAATCTATGTAGATGGCATCATATTTGGATCAACCAATTAAGACTTTTGTGAAGAGTTTGGAAGGATGATGGCTAATGAGTTTGAGATGTCCATGATTGGAGAGTTGAGTTACTTCCTTGGTCTTCAAATTAAGCAATTGAAGAATGGTACATTTGTGAGTCAAGGCAAGTACATCAAAGACATGCTCAAGAAGTTTGGCATGAATGAGAGCAAAGCCATTAGTACACCAATGGGAACAAATGGCAATTTGGATAGTGATGCAAGTGGCAACATGGTGGATCAAAAGTTGTATCGTTCTATGATTGGAAGCCTACTCTATGTAACCACATCAAGGCCGAATGTCATGTTTAGTGTGTGCATGTGTACAAGATTTCAAGCCTCACCAAGAGAAAGTCATTTAAAGGCTATAAAGAGAATATTGAGGTACTTGAAACATACACAAAATGTTGGTTTGTTGTATCCCAAAGGAGCAAAGTTTGAGCTAGTTGGATATTTGGACTTTGATTATGCGGGATGCAAGGTTGAAAGGAAGAGCACATCAGACACTTATCAATTGTTGGGAAGATCACTTGTTTTATGGTCATCAAAGAAGCAAAATAGTGTTGCATTATCAACCACCAAAGCCGAATACATATCCGTTGGTAGTTGTTGTGCACAAATTCTTTGGATAAATGCCACCTTGAATGACTTTGGAATCCAGTTCAAGAAAGTGCCATTGCTATGTGACAATGAGAGTGCAATCAAGCTAGCCAACAATCCAGTTCAACATGCAAGAACAAAGCACATTGATGTATGCCACCATTTCATAAGAGATCATCAACAAAAAGGTAACATTTCAATTGAGAGTGTGGGCACTGAAGATCAACTTGCCAACATATTCACCAAGCCATTAGATGAGAAGAGGTTTTGCAAGCTAAGGAATGAGTTGAACATATTGGATTTCTCAAATATGTATTGATGCACCCCCACTAATATGACACGCCTCTCCTCTGAGCAATCCAAGGTAAAGTTTGATTGGCATGCATACATTCTTTGCTAAGGACATGTTTAATGCATCTAGTCATTCCTCACATTTAATAGGCTCATTCATGAAAATCAAATGAATTTGATGCTTGTATGGTACCACTATTGCTTCTATGCTTGACTTGATCTAGTTGTAGCATATGACCTGTTTGTGGGCTTGTGAACCTAGTGTTTAATCTAGAAAATGAGCTATAAGTGATTAACTCAACATGGTCAAGATAACCCTTGAAATAAGGTGTAGGGTTATGAGGATGCTACGCTAGCTGGAAAACAAAAAATTCGACCTCATAAACCAGGATCTACTGCTAGTTATAGATCACGGGATTACCACTAGACGCGCAGGTGCAGCGGAAGCGACTCGATGTAGTCGTATGCATCATAGCAGTGCTGTGTAGTTGCAAGGTCATCCGTACATCCGTCCCCTTCGTGCGGTTCATCCTTGTGCTCTAGATGTAGCACCTCCGAGGTATCCACACGTACAGGGAGGAAGCGTCGCGCCTCCGGACTGCTAGGTCCGTGAGGAGTAGCAGGAGCGGGCGTAGGATGGGTGGTGGCGGTTGCCAAAAGGCATGGATCCCTAGCCCCATTGCCCACCGCACTTATTTATAGGTGTCCCTAATGAGCTCCCGAGTTGGAGGCCCATTAGTAACCCTAAGCCTTGTCTAACTCGGATCCAATCCGAATTAGGCTTCCAGCCCCTTAAGCGTGCGACCCTATGGGTTCACGCACACATAGACATGGCCCGAGTACTTCTACTCGACCATTAGTTGATAGCGGCCTCTAGCAAGGCATGTCAACTCCTATGCGTACACAAAGATCATATAAGACGAACGACCATAAAACCACATACTTGTTATTCCCTTGCCTCACAATATTTGGTCCAACTCATAGGTTAACACTTAACCCAAGCACAGCCATGTATTTCTTGATCTAATCATTAGAGTGATCTAGTGATATCTCTCATATAGAGAGGGGTAAATTCCATCTTGATTGTCTATGTCTCATAGCATGTTTCCTAACAAACCCAAAAAACCACCTTTATAACTACCCTGTTATGGAGTAGCGTTTGATAGTCCCTGAGTAGGTCGTTTCACATCTTGAATACATACAACAATCTCAAGTCTAAGGACATAACGTACATGATGTGAATAGAGATAATAACAACATCTCACGTTGGGTCAGTCCAGCCCCATGTCATACATGTGCCCACATTATTAGTTTGACATCTCCATGTCTATGACTTGTGAAACATAGTCATCAACTAATAATGTGCTGATCCATTATTCATGTGTGTCCTCACACGAACTCTGACCAGGGACAACATTAGAATAACCATACAAGTAAAAGAGTTTCACAAACAATTCACATAATTGCTAATCGATATAGGTTGTCTTTAATGGAAATTCAATGAACTCATAATATATCATGGATACAAGGCAATATAATCGTCTCTATGATTATCTCTAGGGCATACTCCCAACAATCTCCCACTTGCACTAGAGTTTATCTCGAAGATATCTAATACCCATAGCTCTCATGTGCGCCTCATTCTTAGGCCGTGGAAGAGCCTTTGTCAAAGGATCTGTAACATTCAAATCTGTGTGTATCTTGCACATCTTGATCTCATCTCGTCTAACGAACTCTCAAATGAGGTGAAATTTCCATAGTACATGTTTGTTCTTTTGGTGATTCCTTGGCTCCTTAGCCTGCGCAATTGCCCCATTGTTGTCACAATGTAGATTCAATGGGCTGGACGCATTCGGAAACACACCAAGTTCAATGAGGAACCTCCTCATCCAAACACCTTCCTTCGCAGCTCCAGAAGCTGCAATGTACTCGGCCTCTGCTGTAGAATCGGTCACCGTCTCCTGCTTGGAACTTTTCCAACTTACAGCACCACCATTTATTGTGAACACAAAACCTGATTGAGACTGTGAATCATCCGTGTTAGTTTGGAGGCTAGCATCGGTGTAACCATTTACAAAGAGCTCCTCCTCACCTCCATAGATTAGGAACACATCTTTAGTCCTTCTCAAGTACTTAAGAATGTTTTTAACAAGTGTCCAGTGACTCTCTCCTGGATCAGCTTGGTACCTGCTCGCAACACTTGGAGCATATGAGACATCTGGGCGAGTACATATCATGGCGTACATGATGGAACCAACTGTCGAGGCGTATGGAACCTTATTTATACGCTTCTACTCATCAGCTGTCGAAGGACACTGTTTATCGCTAAAGCGCATACCATGTGACATAGGCAAGAACCCTTTCTTGGACTGTTCCATGTTGAACCGTTTCAACACCTTGTCAATGTACGTATCTTGGCTTAATCCTATAAGCCTCTTCGATCTATATAGATCTTGATGCCCAAAATGTATGCTGCTTCTCCTAAATCCTTCATAGAAAAAATATTATTCAGTGAAGTCTTTACGGATTGCAACATAGCAATGTCATTCCTAATCAATAATATGTCATCCACATACAAGATCAGAAATACAACAGCGCTCCCACTTTCCTTCTTGTAAACACAAGGTTCTTCTTCATTCTGACGAAAGCCAAACCCTTTGACCACTTCATCAAAATGAATGTTCCAACTCCGAGATGCTTGCTTTAACCCATAAATGGATTTCTGAAGCTTGCAAAATTTTCCAGCATTGTTTGGATCAACAAAACCTTCGGGCTATATCATATACACGTCCTCATCCAAATTTCCATTTAGAAATGCTGTTTTAACATCCATCTGCCATATCTCATAATCGAAATAAGCAACTATTACTAGAATGATCTGGATAGATTTAAGCATCGCTACCGGTGAGAAAGTCTCATCGTAGTCAATTCCTTGAACTTGCCGAAAACCCTTTGCAACAAGTCGAGCTTTATAGACATGAACGTTTCCATCCATATCCTTTTTCTTTTTATAGATCCATTTGCACTCTATGGGTCTAACCCCATCAGGCGGGTCAACCAAGTTCCAAATTTGATTGTTTCCCATGGAATCTATCTCGGATCTCATGGCACTTTGCCATTTCTCGGAATCTGGGTCCATCATTGCTTCCGCATAAGTCATAGGTTCGTCGTCGTCTAACAATAACAAATCCCCACACAACTCACGGATTCTTGCTAACCTTCATGGTTGTGGCGGTGTTTCTATTGCCACGGGTATCTCAACTTATTCTGCTACATTAGCATCACTCGTAGAGTCCTTCCCAACTGGCTCATCTTGAACTTCTTCAAGATACACCTTATGTCCACTTTTCTCTCTTTTGAGAAACTCTTTCTCTAAGAAAACACCGTTCCAAGCAACAAATACTTTGCCCTCTGATCAGTTGTAGAAGTAATACCCTAAAGTTTCCTTCGAATATCCCACGAAAAAGCATTTGTCTGACTTGGGTGTTAGTTTATCTGTCATAAGTCATTTGACATAAACTTCACAACCCCAAATTTTCAGAAAAGACAAACTGGGACTCTTACCAGTCCACATCTCATATGGTGTCTTAACTACAGACTTAGACGGTACCCTATTCAATATGAAAGCGGTTGTTTCTAGAGCGTATCCCCAAAATGATAACGATAGGTCTGACTGGCTCATCATAGACCGAACCATGTCCAACAAAGTCCAATTATGTCGCTCAGACACGCCATTTCTCTGAGGCGTTCCAGGTGGCGTAAGCTGTGGAACAATTCCGTAACTCTTTAGATGATTGCTAAACTCGTGGCTCAAATATTCGCCTCCATGATCAGATCACAAAGCCTTAATTTTCTTGCCATGTTGATTCTCTACTTCACTCTGAAACTCCTTGAACTTTTCAAATGTCTGAGACTTATGTCTCATTAAGTAGACATAGCCATATCTACTAAAGTCATCAGTGAAGGTAATGAAGTATTGGAATTCGCCTCTTGCTGTCTTACTCATTGGTCCGCACACATCAGTATGTATGAGTTCCAGCAAGTTTGCCGCCCTCTCAGGAAAACCTATGAAAGGCGTCTTGGTCATCTTGCCCAGCAGGCAAGCCTCACATGTCTCGTATGATTCAAAATCAAACGAAGTTAAAAGCCCATCAGAATGGAGCCTCTTCATGCGATTCTCACTTATATGACCTAAACGACAATGCCACATATAGGTAGGACTTAACTCATTAAGCCGAGGCTTTTTAGCACTTATATTATAGACAAGAGCATCTTCAAGATTTAAAATAAATAACCCATTCACAATGGATGCTGAAGCCACAAACATGCCATTTTTAGAGATCACACAATCATTGTCTTTACTCGCAAATGAATAACCATCCTTCATCAAACATGAAGGTGACACAATGTTTCGACTTAAACTAGGAACAAAATAACAATTATTCAACTCCATAATAAATCCTGATGGGAGGTGGAGTTGCATCGTCCCGACGTTCAACGCAGCAACTCTTGCATTATTGCCCACGCGGAAATCAACTTCTCCCTTTTCCACGCTTCTACTTCTTATCATTCCCTGCATCATATTGCAAATATGAGCAACCGATCCGGTATCAAATACCCAAGAATTAATATAAGAATTAGCAAGGAAAATGTCCGTAATATAAACAACAAGTGTACAAGCTGCGGGAGTACCTTTACTGCCGCGATACTTTATGGATTCCAGGTACAGCTTGTAGTTCCTCTTCCAGTGACCTTTCCCATGACAATGAAAGCACTCAGCATCAGCAGGTGGTCCAGCCTTGGGCGCAAGTGGGTTTGGCTTAGAGATCTCATCTTTAGCCTTGCCCTTTTCCTTCTTCCAAGAATTGCCCTTCTTCTTAAACTTAGGCTTGTTTTGGACCGCCATCACATGGCTACTACCAGCACCTTTCTTGATATCAGCCTCTGCTATTTTAAGCATGCCACATAATTCATTCAAGCCATTCTCTGCCCCATGCATATGGTAGTTTGTGATGAAATTTCCATAGCTGGGCGGAAGAGACGCGAGAATAAAATCAGTAGCTAATTCAGGGCCAATTGGGAAGCCCAGCTTCTCCAACCTCTGAGTGTAACCAACCATTTTGATCACATGTGGCCCAACTGCTGCGCCCTCTGCTAGCTTGGTTTCAGCAAAAGCCTTTGAGACATTGAACCTTTCAGTCCTGGCTTGAGTCTGGAACATATCATTGAGCGCCACGATCATATCGTGCGTTACATGGTTATTGTCAAACTGCAACTGCAGATATGGTTCCATACAAGCAAGCATAAGGCAACTCACTTCAAGATCAGCATCACATGCTCTCTTGTAAGCGTTTTTCTCTGTAGCAGGTGCATTATCAGCAGGCTCTTGTGGTAATGGGTGTCTAGAATTTCTTCCTTTTTCTCAGCCCTGAGAACGATTCTCAGGTTGCGGATCCAATCCGCATAGTTTGTTCCATTCAACTTATCTTTCTCAAGAATTGAACGCAAAGTAAATGGTTGATTGCTAGGTGCCATTTATCTACAACAAAAGTAATGCAAAATACTAAGACAATCTATCCAAGAAAGAGTAAACAATATTAACCTTTAATAGAATCTACTCCCACTAAAATCAATATCCCTCTCTTGAAACTTAGTGATTCAAGACCCACAACTAACAAGTCTACTAGTGAGCTTTAGCATCACCGCTAGAAGACATGGTAGATTGGTAAGCAACTCTTTGCTAATCATATCACATATGACTCTTGTTGTTGGGTAGCATCTCTATGCTTTGGTGCCCAACTACTCATGCTCCAAGGTCCCTAACCGTTAGGATGACCTTGTCGAAGTAACCAACCCTTCTGCTATAAGTATCCGATACGAACCTGTCTAGTCAAGGAAAACCAGTGGCACCCTAATTTCATAGACCCACCACCGATTGTACAAGACACATGATAGTGCAAGGTTTGGGGAAGCATTTTAACTTAAACATTGCCGAGGGATCGTTCTACTTCACCATCGCATGTAGACAAAAATCATTATCGCACGTGAAAGTAGAACATAGTAAGAACATCAATAACACAGATATGACATGGTATAGCCCATTGTTCCTTTGGGGATCTCCATCTCCATCGAACTGTTCCTCATGATGATCTCCATCTCCATGATCCATGTATGCCATCCTTCAGTGATGAGTCCACCAAGACTAGTTATCACTAACGCAAGGCAGTGAAGAAAATTACATAGTCGCGGATAGGATCATCACAGTTTGGCACGTAGGCCATTACATCAAATTGACAATATCTTTGTGGCTCCAGTCATATTGTCATACTCACGACATGCAAGCCATGAATTAATTACATACATGCATCACATACACATAAGGGCTATACCAGTCATAAATTCTTGCAAAACAGAGTTAACCGATTTCCGACGTCTAATCTTAAAACGCCGAAAACACCATCTTCCCGGCCGTTTTTTGCAAATCTAATTTCAGCGAAACCACCAACGGTGGTGAGAATCGGATGTAAAAAAATTTTCTCTACAATTTTCATATAAAGTTCGTCTCAATCCGAGGTCGTATGCAAAAGTTATGGCTATTTTACCAAACAACACTTTTTCTTGCACCCCGGCGCCCGGCAGTAGATCCAATCTATCACCGCTACGCATCACATGCGCTCGGCACTTGACCTAGGTTTGATTCGATCAATTTGGTTGATCTCCATCTTGCCATGACTAGATTTACATGTATCACTTAACTTGGATGGTGGAATTCTGATCGGTACGAGTAGATCGTTACAAGACCAACACGGTAAAATCACGAACCATGATCAGAGACTCATCTACAACCGCCCATATCTCCATACGCACTCATCCAAACCTATAACAACGCAGTACCCCACTCCGATACCACTGTAGGGTTATGAGGATGCTACGCTAGCCGGAAACAAAAAATTCGACCTCATAAACCAGGATCTACTGCTAGTTATAGATCACGGGATTACCACTAACGCGTAGGTGCAGCAAAAGCGACTTGATGTAGTTGTACGCGTCATAGCAGTGCCATGCAGTTGCAAGGTCGTCCATACGTCCGTCCCCTTCGTGCGGTTCGCCCTTGTGCTCTAGATGTAGCACCTCCGAGGTATCCACACGTACAGGGAGGAAGCGTCGCACCTCCGGACTGCTAGGTCCACGAGGAGCAGCAGGCACGGGCGTAGGATGGACAGCGGCAGCTGCCAAAAGGCGTGGATCCCTAGCCCCGTTGCCCACTCCACTTATTTGTAGGCGTCCCTAATGAGCTCTCGAGTTGGAGGCCCATTAGTAACCCTAAGCCTTGTCTAACTCGGATCCAATCCGAATTAGGCTTCTAGCCCCTTAAGCATGCGACCCTATGGGTTCACGCATACATAGACATGGCCCGAGTACTTCTACTCGGCCATTAGTTGATAGCGGCCTCTAGCAAGGCATGTCAACTCCTATGTGTACGCAAAGATCATATCAGATGAACCACCACAAAACCACATACTTGTTATTCCCTTGCCTCACAATATTTGGTCCCACTCATAGGTTAACACTTAACCCAAGCACGACCATGCATTTCTTGATCTAATCATTAGAGTGATCCAGTGATATCTCTCTCATATAGAGAGGGGCAAATTCCATCTTGATTGTCTATGTCTCATAGCATGTTTCCTAACAAACCCGAAAAACCACCTTTATAACTACCCTGTTACGGAGTAGCATTTGATAGTCCCTGAGTAGGTCGTTTCACATCTTGAATACATACAACAATCTCAGGTCTAAGGACATAACGTACATGATGTGAATAGAGATAATAACAACATCTCACGTTGGGTCAGTCCAGCCCCATGTCATACATGTGCCCACATTATTAGTTTGACATCTCCATGTCTATGACTTGTGAAACATAGTCATCAACTAATAATGTGCTGATCCATTATTCATGTGTGTCCTCACACGAACTCTGACTAGGGACAACATTAGAATAACCATACAAGTAAAAGAGTTTCACAAATAATTCACATAATTGCTAATCGATATAGGTTGTCTTTAATGGAAATTCAATGAACTCATAATATATCATGGATACAAGGCAATATAATCATCTCTATGATTATCTCTAGGGCATACTCCCAACATGAGGTGTGAAGAAGCTTGTCCTTAGATCAAACCGAGTTAAATATCTTTGGCAAGTGTTCTAGATTAGACCAAATTTAGGAAAATGATCCTCACCCCATTGATTGACTTTGATAATCTTAACCTATCTAGTGAAAAAATAACAAATGGGACATAGGGGAAGAGATATGACAAAGGAAGGGGATCAATTAAAATTGGAGCACACAAGTAGGGGGAGCAAGTTCTTGAACTTGTATGATGCATTTGAATGTGCATTTACATATGCTTGCTTGCATTTGTCAAGTTTAAATTTAAAATCTCATGCTTGTGTGGTGTATGCTAGTTGTAGGTTTGATTAATGAAATGAAAAACTAGCATGCATAGGTGGTAGTTAGATATGTCTTGCTTTGTTTTCACAAGTGGTACTAGAGCCTTGCATATAATGTTGATCTCACGAGGTATCTAGTGTTTGTTTTTGCAAGTGGTATCTAACTAACCATGGTGCTAAGGATGGTATATTTGGTGCACTCCGATTGGTATCACACTTCAAAGGTCCATCTCTTATACCTTAGCATTATTTGGTAGACATTACTCTCCCACAAGTCCAATTCATGCATATGTGCAAGTTTTAATCCAAACTCTTAGTACATATGTAGGGAGAGCAAATGCTACCCATTCGGGTTCATGAAACTTGTCGAAATCCTTTACACATGGTAAAAATGCTTGAACAAGCAACATGGATTCAATTGAATTTCAATTGATATCTTTGTGAAAGGGTTGTCATCAATTACTAAAAAGGGGGAGATTGAATGCTCTAGTTTGGTTTTGGTGAATTGATGAAACCCTAAGTGCTAACCCGTTGCTCTAAGTGATCATGATGGTGGTGATTGGCCATGGTGATGATCAAGTGCTTGGGCTTGGAAAAGAAGAAAGAGAAAACAAAAAAAACTCAAGGCAAAGGTGATATCCAAAGGAGCTCTTTGTTTTGGTGATTGAGACATTTAGCGAGTGTGATCACATTTAGGATAGATAGCTGTACTATTAAGAGGGGTGAAACTCATTGTGAAATGTGGTTATGAAAGTGCCACTAGATGTTCTTAGTCTTTGCATATGCATTTAGATTCTAATGAGTGCTAACACCCTTGAAAATGTTTGTGAAAATATGCTAACACACGTGCACAAGGTGATACACTTGGTGGTTGGTACATTTGAGCAAGGGTGGTGAAGTTTGAGAAGTGGAGGAGCTATCTCGAGGTGATCGGACGTTGCTCTGGCAGCGACCGGACTCAGCCGGGTGCGTCCGGTCAATTTTAGCATTGAAGAGCGTGGCTTCAGTCTTTGACCGGATGCTGGCGCAAGGAGCGATTGGACTCGACTGTGGTGCGTCCGATCACAGTGATGTATGCTGACGTGGGGATGTTTGAACTTGGCGTGCACCTAGAGAAAGGATCGGACGTGTCCGATCAACAAAAACCATCTCTAGGCCCTTACTAGATCTGATCGATGCAAGGTGGCGCAGAGTCAGGTGATGGCAGTGTTGCATCTAGTCATTGGCTTGGGTGCTTGGGTGTGCGCGTGATTGGATGTGTAGGTCAGTTCATAGGTGTGGCCGGTCTCCACTTGAGCGCAGGCGCGGGCAAAGTTGATCGTTCGATCACACGATGGGCGTTGAATCACGAAGACATGTGGCGAGGATCCCACGACCGGACGCTAGGCTGGCTGCGTTCGGTCAATCTGACTGGCGCGTCCGGTCAGCGCAAGTTGGGCTATGTGTTGAGCCCAATGGCTCTATTTATGGGGGCTTCTATTTAAGCCCCATGACCGGGTCTTGCTCTCTCTCTCTTGGCCATTTTCATTGACATAGTGTCGCGGGGTCGGAACCACGGCAAGCATGTTGTTTGAGTTGATATCAGAGTACGGGTCTCTGGTGGCTCGGTGGACTCAAGAACACAAGAATCACAGAGAGGACACAACGGTTTATCCTAGTTCAGGCCAATCGATGCCCTACGTCCAGTAGCTATGATCCTTATACTCAAAAGCACCCAAAATCGGGGTTTACAATAGGGTTGTAGAGAGATTTGGTAGGGGGTTACCTCGATGCTAATCCTAAGGTTGCCTCACCACCGGTGGAGCCTTCTCTCATCGGAGAGGAGAAAGATGATGGGATGCGGTGGAGGAGCTCTCGGTGCCTCTCCGTGGGTTGCCTTACTCTCAATGCTGAGCAGAGGCCAAGGAATGGAATGGAATGATGTGTCTTCTGATCGTTGCCCCTTCATTTGTCTTGTGTCCCCCTCTTAGGTCTGACCTTATCCCTTATATAACAAGATAGGTTGGGTACATGGTGGTTTGGGGGAACTAGTCTATGGTCTACAAGCGCCGGAGTCCAGGAGGGCCTTACAGCG